TTCGCAGCCTTGACCTGCTGGGCTCTGGCGATCCTTCCGCCTCAGCCTTCCCAGTAGCCGGAACTACAGGCGCGCGCTACCACGCCCGGCTGATTTTTTAATTTATTGTAGAGATGAGGTCTCGCTGCCAGGTGGGTCTCGAATCCGCGGGCTCAGGCAATCCACTCATCTCAGCCTCGCAATGGCGCGGGATTACAGGCTGAGCCACTGAGCCCGGCTCTATTTTTAATATGACTGTCTAACCCAAGTGAAATAAGTCAAGAGTAACTTCTGACACTAATAAGTAATATATATTCTGAGAACAACTAGCGCTTTCCCAATTAGTACACTCCCTCTTTCTTCTCCTTTCTTTTCTTTTGACAGAGACTCGCTCTGTTGTTCAGGCTAGAGTGCCTTGATCATGGCTCATTGCAGCCTTGAACTCCTGGGCCCCATTGATCCTCCCACCTTGGCCTCACAAAGTGCTGGGATTATAGGTGTGAGCCATCTCCCTTTTCTTCATGCAGATTACTGGTTTTGGTGGACTCAGATAAATGGTTTGTTTTCAGTAATGTGGTTAACTAAAATCAATCATTTATTATTAGAGTTGGAAAGGACTTCAAAAGGCCATTAAAGCAGGCCTGTCTTGACCCTAGGCAGTTGTGATTCCATAAGGAAATAAAAGTACTCTGTCCTTCTGAATTGGGTTGTATGCACTTATAAACCTTATGATTTTATTATTTATTGTTCTTCCTGTCATTAGAGTCCTGGGAAGCCTTCTTTCTGCTCACAGAATAATAACTGACTCCAAGCAGCCCTTTGGTGACATGACAATTAAGGATTATGATAATGAATTATTGCACATGGCCCATGACCTGGCTGTGCGGCTCCTCCCTGCTTTTGAAAACACCAAGACGGGGATCCCCTATCCTCGGGTAGGTACGCTGGTTTCATGCTTTATGTTTGACAATTCACTGTCTTCCTGAATTAAAACTCTTTTTTATTAATTTGTTTGGGTGAAGGAACAGGGCTAAGGCAGAAGAGGAAAGCTGTGTCCCTGAAAGAATTTGACCCTTAATATGTAAATAATTTTGAATCCATTCTGTATTTAGTGAGCACCTACTGTGTACTGAACAAAATACAGTGACAATCTGACTTAATCTTCCCCTTAAGGAGCTTATATTCCTGTGTTCTATATTCTTAAGTCCTTTTACATATATGATTTAGATCCCCTGCTGCAAAAGTGTGTGGGGAATTTATCTTCTTTTCTGACTTGGGTGTATTTCCTCAAAGATTCTCACATGTGTAAGAGCTCAATGAATGTTCTTTTGAATGCTTCATATGGATTTTTCCAATAAAGCCTGCACAGACTAGCAAGTTAGCTGCTGATTTAAATGTCAAGATCTGGAATGCGGCCAGGCATGGTGTCTCATGCCTGTACTCCTAGAGCTTTGGGAGGCCAAGGTGGGTGGATTGCTTGAGCCTAGGAGTTCGAGACCAGCACAGGCAACATAGCGAGACCTTGTCTTTACAAAAAATAAAAAAAAATTAGCTGGGCGTGGTGGTATGTGCTGGTAGTCCCAGCTACTCAGGAGGCTGAGGCAGAAAGATCACCTGAGACCCCTCCAACTCAAGAAAAAATTTTAGATTGAGAGTATAGCTTTCTGGCATCTGATCTGTAGAGCCCAGAACTCCTCTGGGAATTGACTCAGCCTTTTAGGTAGCCCATGGAGAATTGCCAGACCCAGTACCTCCATGATGAAGCTGGCTGCTATATTCTAACTGCGCCTCCTCTGTCTCCTCTAAGGTTTGTTTATGTTTGCTGAGCAGGAGTGAGTTCATAGTATAGTAGCTCACTTAAAATGTAGGTGATTCTACAGTTTGCCTTTATCTCTAACTCCAAAGCCTGGTGCTTGTGTAACCATGAAGAAAACCTGCTGGAAGGTAATGGTTTGGTGAATAGTATTTCAATCATTCCCTGAAGACTTTTTTTTTTTTTTTTTTT